GGCTCCCCCACTTAGCTTTAAGCTGCAATTATATAAACTTAGAACCCGCAAGGATTTCTCCTTTTCAATTACCATAATCTCGCACCGTTAACCCGCCAGACTTCTCAAAGTCTTTTGTTAAGCTTTTCATGAACATTCTGAATCACCAGCCACAGTCACACACTCGACCTCTTACCGGGTAGCAAGTTATATTCCTCGCAGAAGCTTCATCAACATCACGCTACCGCTAATTGCTCACAAGAGATAACCCACCTGTGGAATTCCTTACCGACATCTTCCAACGATGTCGCATTGGGTACAACGACTACGTAATCCGTAAATTCTCCTGAGCTCATGCTCGCCCACCATTTGTATAGTCTGCACTTTCCCTGTTGACATCAACTGAAAGTTCAACAATACCTTCCGAACTCAAGTCATATTGCGCCTGAAACGATAATCAAATCTTCACATCCCTCTTCATTTCAAACAAACTCCTTTCTGCCATATTCAATCTTTCTCTGTACAGTAACCATCACTCCAAATAAAGTCTATAGGCCAAATCACATTCTATCACGATTCCAAACCGTTCTACAATTTCTCAAAGTGCGCGACTACCCTACCACATAATCCATATGCTAATCTGCCACTCTTACTTTGGTTAAACAATCTCCTTTAAGAAACTTTCCAACCTCTACTTCTCCTACTTGACCTGCTAGTACTTTAACCACCGCGAAACATTTCCCGTCATGTCTTCCCTCATAATATTCCCCCCAACTGTTGCATCAAATCAAAATGCGTATCTGTAGTACATGAACTAATAAATTGTTACCGACTCTAAGCCTTTTCGAAGATCATCTTCCTCGAGCCATCAACATTAGAAATGCCCATTTGCAACCACAATTACTACACAATCACTTACTCTTCTTAAGTCCAAACTCATTGACAAGACATGAGAATTTAATTTGTCCTGCAATTTAACAACGTGAAAGATCCTTCGATACACTCACAACTCGAGACTATCCGTCAAATCAAGTACCCAATAGCAAACTCTTGAGTCATAAGCAAACTTTATTCGTCACATTTAACCCATCCGACACATGCCACATTCACATCATACTCTTCATATAGTCACTTCCACCGCTCATCGAGCCACAAATTCCACTCATAGGGACATTACCGGACATATGAGTCAAAATGTACATGTTACAATTGAAGCTACCGAGCCTAAGCTGCGGTCTAAACTTGGCCTCAAGTCCTCCAGACTGGCCCATCACCAAAATACAAAATCCACATCTCAAACATCGACCATAGAATCACAAGCCGGCGATGCACAACTAATACCGAGCGCTCATGTGCGCATACGAATGCGTGAAAGGAATTCAAAGAGTTATGTTTCAAGCTGAATCAATTCTGCACGATAGAATACAAGAAAGTGAAATTTTCCTAAGGGTTCGGCAGCCTCTCTAAGATAAGTACAGACGTCTCCGTACCGATCCGCAAGACTCTACTAAACTTGCTCATGACTTGTGAGACCTATGTCACCTAAAGCTCTGATACCAACTTATCACAACCCAAAATCTCATCTGTCGTGATAGCGCCTATCTCAATACTAGGCAAGCCGACAATCTCAATAAACTCCCATATCTTTTATGTTTAAATCAAAGTGATTAAATTCAGCGGAAGAAAATTCACAAATACATATATAAACACTCTTAAACCCGGTGTCACTGAGTACATGAGCATCTAAATGAATACAAAGTCTGACTGGAAAAAATCACTGTCTGAAATATAGAACAGTACAATAATTAAACATGAAGGGAATCAAGTATGCGGTCTTCAAGCAGCTACCTTGATAGTTTCCAACGGAAAGAACCTCGAATTCTAACAGTCTTCATATCCGGGAGCACCTAGATCTGCACACGAAGTGCAGAGTGTAGTATGAGTACAACTAACTCAATAAGTAACAAGACTAACCTCTGGGCTGAAAGCAATGACGAGCTCCGCAAGTACAGTCCAGTATAAATAATGGTACAAAACGTAGACATACTTTCAAATTTAACAGTTAAACTCAGTACAAGTGAAATAGATCAATACTGCATGATATGAAGAATATGACATCTCAGTAAAAAAAAAAGACCTCATGTAAATACTGGTCACAAATTATTCGGTCACTCGGTACAGTTTATGGCCAATCCAGCCCAGAGGTGTTCCAACCCGTATATATATACACATCGACTGACAGTCAGTCACCCAGTACCGTATAAGGCCAATCCGGCCCTGGGGTAATTTATCCCCAAATGCAAATGAGATGGACAAGATCCATGTCCAATTAAATTCATTACAATATAAATAAGTAAGGCAAGTCTATGCCCTGGGAAAATCCATCCCGAATATATATATAATCATCGTAAGTAAGGCAAGTCCATGTCCTGGGAAGTCCATCCTGAATATATATAATCATCTACGCTCATTGGGGGTGTGTACAGACTTCGGAGGGGCTTCTTCAGCCCAAGCGCTATAAGTCGACCGCGCTCACTGGGGGTACTCATGTTAGAAGAGAAGTTGGTGTTATTCAAGAAAATAATAGACAATCTAGAATTAGGGAATTTAAGACTAAGTGTACCAAACATAACCTTAACCCTAGATTCATGCTAGATGAAATTGTTACTAGGAATTATACATACTTATTTTTAAAAATGTTGCTACAAATATAGATTGCCGATAACTGAAGTTGCTAATGCGCATTGTACCGATCCAAACCGTATGTTAACAACTAATACTTGGGAGGCCATTAATGATGTTGTTATATTTTTACATAAATTTTATACAGCTACTGTTGAGTTTTCTGGAGCATATTACTCTACTGTTACTATGGTTTTAGTACATATAGCTGAAATTTCATTTCTACTCTCTGAATTTAAGAAGAAAAAAAAATATAAGGATGCTGTTGAAAAAATGCAAGCAAATTTAAAAAATATTTCTTTCCAATTCCTCCTATTTACTTAATTGGTGTTGTTTTAAATCATTCTATTAAGATGTCTAATTGTCACAAATTAATCAATGCTTTATATGCTTATATGAAGATTGGACCAACTGAAACCCTAGATATATATTGTTGTATGAACAAGCTAAATAATTATTTATAATAATTATATAATTATTATGCAAATATAATTGATGATGCTGCTATTAATGCAGGTAATGTTAATCCCACTATGCATTGTACTACTTGCACTGCATCTGCTACTATGGATGAAGATGAAGGCCTTGATGGTTATAATATTTGGTCTACATTTACTTTCACTCAAACCAGTAGGAGGAACATTGATGAACTTTAATTCTACTTGCAAAAGCAAACAGAGCTTCGCACAAAGGAATTTTCACCGTTGGGATTGTGGCATGAGAATGAAAAGCAATTTTCTGTTCTTTCCGCTATGGCTCGGGACGTGCTAAATGTGCCAATTTCAACTGTTGTATCAGAGAGTGCATTTAGTCAATCCAGACAACAACTAGATCACACCCGCCATTCATTGGGAAGCAATACTTTGGAAGTATTTATTTGTTTCAGAGATTGGATTAGATCGGAACGAAGAAATCAGGGGCGAGAAGATGTTGATAGACCAGAAGACGAGGAACATGGAGATATATTAACACATGGTAATCCATCTGAATTTAACATTACAGAAGATGGCCAAGAAGTTTATATTGATTATGAAGAACTTACTAAGGCAATGCAAAACCTTTGAAATTCTTGATTAATATTTAATAATTCAAATTTGAATTTACTATTTTTTCTTTAATTTAGTTATTGTAAAATGTAAACTTTAATTTGCAAGTTTGAATTAAAAAAAGAATTTGCAAATTATAAGTTAAATTCTTTTCCGTCTTTAATGTATTATCTTAAATTTTTAATGAAATATTGAAATATAAGGCTTTTAAAGCCATTAAAATTTATTCTAACACTCTTTTTATAAGATTATTTTTATATTTTATATTTTTAATTTATCGTAATATAAATTATGATAGTTATACAAAAATTAAAATACAAAAAAAAAATGGTCCGGTCCGGCCCCTTAGGCCCGGAACCGTTCCGTTCAAATTTTCACCGGCCATGCACGGAACCGATAAAACCGATATTTTGAAACCGGTAACCGGTCCTAACTGGTGAGTGACACTAGAGGTTTGATGCTCAAAGTTCTTTTATATAGGTTAAGGGTAAAAGAACAGTGCACGAGCACTTAAAAGATAAGGCTTCAGTATAGTTAAGACCAAGCCTAACTGGTGAGTGACATTCACTTTAACTTATCAAGACAGACATGACATATTGGGCTAACAGTTGAGCATGTAAACTAGTATAGTATCTCAACAAATCTCAACACATGGTTTGTATACAGGTTAACATGAAAAACATGTAGGAATCAGGATTGTGAGAAGTCATGGCTAAGCCTAATAGTTGGAGTCATAAGAAGAGATCATTCTAAGCATCAGAGACAAGCCTTTTGACAAACAATATTCATAAACTCAAAACAGTGTATCACCACAGTAAGGTCAGAATTGTGACACATAATTGCAAGCATACAAACTTTAAACTAAAATTATGTGTTTTTCTGTGAACTTAACCAAATTAATAATGGCAGGTGTGGACTCAGATGTAAAAGGTTTATAACATAACAACAGAAGTCTCACAGAGCTCAAACAGTCACCAGATGGAAAGTGTCAGTACTCACTATAGAGTTTTATCCTAATCAAACTATGTTCAGTCATGAATGCAATTTTCCTAATACATTAACAAGGTTCATTGCATGGTTTCAAGTTATCACAGAGGGCACATAGAGATCATTCTACTATAATGACATGAGCATGCTTCTTTTTAGAGTCTAACAAGATAGCATGAAAGGTAAGAACTTAATCAAAACAGCAGAATATTACAAGTATCAAATGGCTTAGTGTTGGCAAGTATTAACAATGTTCTCAAGAAAATTTTTAGCAACCTAATTTTATCTCAACTACTTGGTTAGCAGAAAAGAATACATATAACATCATCAATATAGGATCTAGATCAATGAAGCTTTAACAGGGTCTAAGAATAATAGCCATATATGGACCATTGAATATGCAGAATGCGCAAGTTATTAACTACAAAATTATCAGGTAGTTATCATGTCAAAAACATAGGCTTCAGGGAAAACATTTGTAGGAACAGTACAATATCACAAGTAGAAGGATCAAGTTGATATGGAGGTACAGAAACACAAAGAAATGTTCAAGAACATGATTCAACTCGTTCAGCTAACATGATAAAGAATATATGATTGTTACTTTACTAACAGAGGATATCTATACACAAACTCAACATAGAGATTACCTTAACTAATCATAGAGGCCTGGCCATAAGAACATTACTCGGCATAGAAGCATTTTTATTAATCAGATGATAAGAATAGAATTTGACAGCATGGCTTGATAACAATACAACATAACTAGATGAAGAAATCCCTAACTTAACAGTGAGAACATCATAGAAAGACAAGTCATGATAAACACAATTTTAATATCTAGCACAAACAATTAGAGAATAAAATAGGAAAATACAGAACCAAACGATTATTCCAATGTANGGGTCAGTATGTACTGACCTTCTATGGAGAAGCAAACCAAGTAGGGAACATCCAACAACCGTTTATGGATCCAAACTCAAGACCAACAGTAGTTGAACTCACGCTGGATAATGAAAGAGAAAGAAAATGGATAAAATCAAAGAGCATTACTGGACAAGCGAGAAAACCTCAAATTTTAATCCTTTTCGTTCTTTCCTTTTGTGTTTCTGATCGTATTAGATGTCTATTTGGTGAGGACACTGAATGCCCCTTTTATAGTGCCGATAAAACCTTAAGGTTCTGGTTAGATTTCAAATCGATAATAGAAATTCATGATGGCATAGATGATTATAGCAATAGAGGTGAAATTGGTGAAGAACGGAGGGGAAAAGTAACATGGATTTACCTGGGCATGAAGAGATGGTCGTTGAACGCGAAGACCCATAAAAAAAGCCCAATGTCCATACGTCACTGCGTTTCACCTCTGGACAAAGAATAATGATATTGAAGTCAAATACATGGTAATGCATGCCATAGAATTAAAAGAGCGGTGGGATAACAAACGGTTCTCAATAGCACAATTTAAGTCTAGGGTTCAAATTAGGGCTTTTGAATTTTAGTGATGAAAACAGAAGTATCTGCATGATTCGCGGATGTAGGGAAAAAATTGAATGATTTGGAGTTTGAATTTGTGACCTTGCATAAATTTGTGCTAGGATTTGTGGCTGACGGGGTCAGTTGGGATGAGAAAAAAGACAGAGATTTGGGAGAGAGAGGCGGCCGTGTAGGGTTGGGAATGAATGAGGGTTTTGGGGTGTTTGGTTGGTTTAAGATGCATGAATGAATCTGGGCTGTTAGCTCGTTTTATCAACGACCCTGATATTTCAGAGTATAAAAGTAATAAAAGTTTTATTATGAGAAAAAAGGACGGTCATTGGATCTTAGTGATCCAACGGTTGGAATGAGATCTCGCAAGGGCTTCGAAATAAAAGAAAAACAAAGATTAATTATGGGTTGTCGATACGTTGGATCAACGGTCCAGATTCATTTGTGCTTCTTTTGTGAGTATAAAAGATGGGTGATGTGGCATTTGTTAATTGGCTCATATGGGGTGACACGATCGCCAACATAGGATAGAGGATGTGTGTCTGGACCAGGTCAAAGTGTTTGGGCATGTGTGTTTTTGGCTAAAACAAATTAAATGGCCTTTAACACATAGTCACATTGAGTTTAATTGGTTAATTGCAATTGTAGCCTTTAGAGCTTTTAACCCCTTTTTAAATCAATTTAATCATTCTTAATTAATCATAATAAAATACAATAAAACATCATTATCAAATGTATTATTAATTACTATAATTAATTATTAATTGCTATAATATTTTATTTATTGAATTATGAAACTAAATTTGGCTAATTAAAGTAATAAAGGTAGTATAGTTATAAATTAATGACTAATTAATTGAATTAATTATAAAACTTTTTTATTAAAATATAAATGTTATTTTAATAGTCCAAAATAATAAGTGTCATTTATTTAATAATATTAAATAACAAACTGTTATTAAATCAACAATATTAATTATTATTATCTATTATATTTTTGAAAAATAGGTATTATTGATTAGAAAATATTTTACCACATTTATTGCTAGTTAATAAGCATAACTAATTTAATTCTGGAAAAGAATGTCAAGCAAAGAGTATTATGTGGAAGAGCAGTTGAAGAAAACTCCAACATAGATATCTATCATGGATCTATTAATGAGCTCTGACACTCATAAAGACGCTCTGTCGAAAGTACTAAGTGGGGTAAGTATACCAAGTAACGCCACTAGTGAGGCGTTGGCCGCGACAATTGGAAAAATGGTCGAACCAAACATGATTACTTTCAGAAAAGACGAACTTCATGTGGAAGGAGCAAGTCACAACAAGTCTCTTCACATCACTCTCAAATGCGGGGACAAAGTGGTATCCCGGGTGCTGGTTGATGGAGGATCAGGAGTCAACATTAGTCCGCTCTCCACACTGCGGGAGTTGGAAATTCATTTGAGGGAGGTCAAGGAAAGCCACGTAAGGGTGAGAGCCTTTGATGGTTCACAAAAGGATTTTAATGGGGAAATTTATCTAGCTTTCCAAATCGAGCCGGTCGATTTTCCGGTGTTATTCCAAGTGATGGATATCTCCTATTCCTACAATTTGCTGCTGGGCAGGCCATGGATACATATGACAAAGGTCGTGCCGTCTACTTTGCACCAATGCATAAAATTCGAGTGGGGATGCCAAGAGATCGTGGTTCACGGAGAGTGGGGTCACTCTGCCTATCTGGAATATGCCGTCCCATTCATTGAATGGCTGGACGGATTGCCTTCTACGCTGTGGAAATCATGCAGACTACTGAGATGGAGGAGACTAAACAAAATTTGGGAATGCAGTCACCGTATAGATTCAAGATGGCTATGAGGGAGATGATGAAATATGGATACAGGACAGGAATAGGGTTGGGAGGCAAGTCAGATGGAATCACAGAGCCAATTGAACACAATGGGCAGAAAGGAAGGGTCGGCATAGGATATCAGCCTCCAGAAGGGAAAACTCGCACTGTTAGTTCCGAGGAAAAAGTTTTTGTGCCAAAGCATGTTGCAAGTCCGGGACAGAGTTCAACACCCGAATATGATATCATCGACGGGATGGGAAAGCTGTTCATGAATATGATTGAAGAATATTGTGAAGGAAATAACATCAAGACACCGACTATCAAGGATGCCGAACCAGGGAAAGAGCTGCAGAATTGGACAACCAGTCCATCTTTAGTTCGCCGAGAGTCTTGGTAGTATAGAACTGTAAAAGTTTTTTTTTTGAAAGAGAACGGTCAATTGAGGCATGTACCATGTCAGTACCTTTTTGTCATTTGTCTCTTGTGAACGCTTAAGACGTTCCCCGTTTGATGAAATAAAAGAATCATTTTCTTAAATATCACAGCTTTGGTTTACCGCTTTATTTATACTTATGTTTTCTTTTCAGTAATCAAACCGATAAAAACCCGTGTTTCATGATTATGACATGTAACAAAACAACTGAGCGCAACGACCAGGATAATGAGGAATATGACAAGAGTATTATGCCAGACAATCTCCCGTAGGAGATCGAACAACTGGAGAGTCAGAAGAAGCCCAATCTCGAAGAAACAGAAATAGTCAATCTTGGAAATGAAGAAGATGTAAAAAAACCAGAATCAACATTCACCTAGGAGCTGAGCAGAAGGAAAAGATGATTGAGCTCCTCCGAGAGTACGTCGACGTGTTCTCATGGTCCTATGATGACATGCCAGGAGTAAGCACCAACATTGTCTCGCATCGAATACCCACTGACCCTACCAGATCACTGGTCAAGCAAAAGCCTAGGAAGTTAAAACTTGATTTAAGTCTGAGGATAAAGGAATAAGTGACCAAATATATAGAAGCAAACTTAGTAAGGGTCACCAACTATCCAAGCTGGTTGGCAAAAATCGTCCCAGTTCCCAAGAAGGACAGAAAGATCAGAATATGTATGGACTACCGAGATCTCAACAAAGCTAGTCCAAAAGATGATTTCCCTCTGCCAAATATCCACATCCTTATCAATAATTGCGCGAATCATGAATTGCAGCCGTTTGTGGATTGCTTCGTTGGATACCACCAAATCTTAATGCACGAGGAAGACGCAGAGAAGACAACTTTCACCACACCTTGGGGAGTCTACTATTATAGAGTTATGCCGTTCGGTCTCAAGAACGTCGGTGCCACCTATTATAGGAGATTGAAGTGTATGTGGATAATGTCATCATAGAGTCTCGAAAGAGTTCAAAGCACTTGGACGACTTGAGGAAATTTGTTTGAACGCATGCGAAGGTATAGTTTGAATTTGAACCCAGCAAAGTGTGCGTTCGGAATCCCCGCTAGGAAACTATTAGGTTTCATCGTAAGCAGGAAGGGGATAGAACTAGATTCATCAAAAATCAAGGCCATCTAGGAATTACCACCACCAAAGAGCAAGAAAGATTTCATGAGTTTCCTAGGAAGATTGAATTACATCAGTCGTTTCATAGCCCATTCTGCGGTAATCTGTGAACCTATTTTCAAGCTGCTAAAGAAGGTTGTTGCCACGAAATGGACGAAGGAGTGTGAGAAAGCCTTCGACGAAATCAAAGAGTATCTTACAAACCCGCCAGTGTTGGTTCCCCCCAAACCAGGGAAAATATTGGTGCTCTATTTGTCAGTCTTGGACAATGCCTTTGGCTATCTGTTGGCCAACATGATGAAACTGGGAGAAAGGAGCAGGCCATCTACTACTTATGCAAGAAGTTCACACCATGTGAGGCCAAGTATACCCTGATAGAGCGCACTTGTTGTGCTCTGACTTGGATTGCTCAGAAGCTAAGGCACTACATGTCGGCATACACTTTGCATATGATATCTCAGCTCGGCCCGCTCAAGTACATCTTTCAGAAGCCAATGCCTACCGGAAAGCTAGCTAAATGGCAAATTCTCCACAGTGAATTTGACATTGTGTACATAACTCAGAAGGCTATCAAAGGGTAAGATTTAGCCGACCACCTGGCCGAGAATCTAGTGAATGGGGATTACGAATCTCTTACTACGTATTTCCTTGATGAAGAAGTATTATTTGACGGGGAAGATATTGTTACACCCCGTAAGTTTAACATCCTTGATACCGATATATATACATTTGATATGGTATTTTGAGTGGAATATTTTTGTAAAATAGTTTGAAAAAAATATATGATTGTATATAGTTATTAGTATTACTACTTTCGAATATGTTTTAAATTATACACATAATATGAGAAAGTTTATGAGATTTTCTTTATTGTCAATATAGAAATTATTTTCTCACAAGAAAAGAAAGTTATCCTTTTACCAATTTAAGAATTAAGAGTACGAGAATTTTTACTCTTTATATGAGATTAGGAAAATTATAAAGTTGAGAAAATATGTGTATTTTTATATGGATATTTTAATTAAATAATAATGTATGTATTTATTCTATACCACATGATCATGATAGTAAGATGTATAAAATGTGTTAAAAGTGAGTAGTATTTTGAGATAATTCTTAATTATGTAGGTCATTGGTTAATTATTGGATAATAGGATATTACCCAATTAATTAAGGATTTATATTGGATAAGGATTAAGGGCATGAGGTGGCAGTCCCCCCATTCAAATTAAAATGACTCATAGCTTGGAAAGGAAAAGAAGGTGTCCATTTGCCAACTCTTGCGTATAACACGTTCATTTCTAGCCCACCCCTCCATAATATTCATACAATTGTACCTCTCTCTCTTCTTCGTTTTGGATTCTTCCTACAAATTAATTTTCCGATAGTCCCCAAATCTTTCTTGGGTTGATCTCGCGGTCTGCTTTGTATCGATGTCGGTTAAGACAGTGCAAGTGAGCAATGTTTCTTTGGGTGCTAAAGAGCAAGATATCAAGAAGTTCTTTTCATTCTCTGGGGATATCGAATTTGTTGAGATGAGAAGTGATAATGAGCGATCTCAAGTTGCTTATGTCACGTTCAAGGATCCTCAAAGTGCAGAGACGGCAGTTCTTCTTTCGTACTGTTTTTTTTTTTAGGAATCAAATTTCTATTAGTCTAATTTATGACATTGTGTCTTTGAGTGTACAACGATAACTCTGTAATAGGTACAAGACCGCTGTATCAGTTAATCTCAATCCAACAAGAACAATTCCAATGATTATTTTGGCTTCAACGAAAATTAATCTTGAGACAAAACAATTCCAACGAGATTTCTTAGCACCGTAGCAACGTGAGATTTTGCG